GCCCACTCACCAAGCTGTGACAACTGGCTCTTGATGCGGCCAACCGTTGTCGATGAGCGCAAGCCACNGCGGCTTGTACACAGCCACCAGCCCTGACAGCGCCTTGGCCACCGTTCCCGGGAATGACCCACCACTCATCTTCCTCCTTTCACACTCAAAAATAAAGAGAGAGAGAGAGAGAGAGAGAGAGAGAGAGAGAGAGAGAGAGAGAGAGAGAGAGAGAGAGAGAGAGAGAGAGAGAGAGAGAGAGAGAGAGAGAGAGAGAGAGAGAGAGATTAGAAGAGAGTTTTGAGAGTTTGAGAGAGAGTTTGAGAGAGAGTTTGAGAGAGAGAGAGAGAGAGAGAGAGAGAGAGAGAGAGCCGTTACTCAAACAAACAGAAAAACTCAAATTTCTTTTTTTTATCATCTTGTTGGCTGCTCGCTGATGAGGCGTACCGTCGGCGATGACGGCGAGGTCGGCTGCGTGTGGGCCTGCCGGGCTGATGGCCTTGCATGTAGGATGTGGGTACTATAATGAAAAGACACGTGTAAATGCTCGCCGGCTTCTGATGCAAGCGCTGCAACAGGTGCGTCCCATGGCCCGCCACAACGCAGCCCATCACGCAATCCTTGACCGCTTCCGCTTTGATGGTGCAGGCTCCGTCGCTGACGGAAGGCGAGCATACATCCTTGGATGAGCTCAGCCGAGCGCTGGCATTCCTCGAGGTGAGGCTTGGCCAAAAAAATACAAACAAACACCATCGCTGGATCATGTCATCGACACTCATGGTGCTGGCTCGGCAGGCGTCTGGTGAGGTGAATGCTGGCTATGGGAGCAACCTGACTCTTGAAGGAGGCTTCAGTTGTGAAGCAGCCGTCTGCGATGCCCGTCTAGGTGCAGCTGCCATTGCCAACCTCTCAGGCAAGCTGCCAATCTCAGAGATATCGGTGGGTGTATCAGCATCTCCCTCTCATCGTGGCCTGTGTGGGGAAGAATAGCTTGTGGCTTGCCCGTGGTGGTAGCCACTCGACTTTTGCAGCGAGCCTGTACGCGTCGGCTCTTGGGGCGTCTCCCGCCCAGGTGAACATCATTGGACTCATCCCACCCCTGCTTTGAAATGGTAACTTTCATGAACAAGCAAGGCCAGTCTCACCTGGGTGGATGGAAATCACCATCCATAGAATACTAAGCGGAGCAGGTGCCGACGCATTTGCGCGCCAAGTGGATGTGACCCTACTGCCTCAAGACCTAATTGCCGGAGCGCCTGGAGCGCGCAGCAAACATGGTGCTGCTCGCGCTCGTTATGATGCCTTGATCGATAAGGTGGCCAAAAGTGGTTCCGAGCCTCTTACCAAGCGCCCACACACGATGTACGTGCAGCTCCATTGCGCTGGGCACAAGGGAGGATGGTTTGGGCTTGCCGAGAAACCAGCTATCAACCAACGTCTGAATAGCCTGTTATCAATCGCATGGTTGCAGGGACCCAGCGCCAGGCCTGTGTGAGGATACAGTGGGAGGCGTGATAGCCCATGTGGGCCCGGCAGAGCTCGGACATGCGTCAGGTTCGACTGTTTCCCCTTTTTTGTTTAATCCTCAAGATCATGGCTGACTGCTCTTGCAATGATCAACACATCACTTGCCCTTGGCCCTACGCTGCTCTTAACTGCCGTCAGCTTCTAGCAGTGGAGGTCTCTTGCTGAAAGATGTGGGACGTGTCGGACCGGCAGGGGTCCTTCGAGCGGCGTACGTTAAACCGTCGAGTTTTTTTTTTTTAACTTTTTTTCCATGCCGAGCGCATAAGTTCCTGGTCTGCTTCATAACCAGCCACTCCAACCTCGTTGCTTAGGTGCTGGACCGAAGTTATTCATAAGGCTGTGAGCGTCAGCGTAGCTCTGTCTGGTGCGTCGTTCCGCTTCTCTTTGAGCCAAATCTTGAGCCGTATCTCTTGCCAAGGTGCAAATCTGTGGCTGCATCGTACCCATCCTCTCAAGCGACATTGCGATGCCAAACTTTTGGGCCGCTTGGGAATGCAGGCACTGGCGAATTCATGCTTGATCAGGGGTTGGGTCACCGCATCGCGACTGAGGTGGCGATCAGCGGGGGCGTGACGCTTGAGCAGGTCCAAGCCTGGCGGAGCGGGTCAACGTCAAGCCAAGTCCCTGCTGACCGTGGTCGAGTCTACCAACCGCTGATTTTGGGTGGCCTCGTCCTCTTGACGAGGCACAGGGACCAATCTTCCCCCGCCTCAAAGTCACACAGCGCGGGTGACGCCCATGAACTCTATGCCTTTGCCAGCGGTGGGGAACTGGTCTTTGGCTGGCGCCTCCTTCCAACCGGCCGTCCGCAGGTGCGCGCTCTGTTGGTATTGGCTTGACTGGGAGCCCTGCCTTTTTTGATTTAACGCCTGTGCACCCGTGTTTTTACAACCCCATCCCATAGGTCGTGTGCATGGATGGCCAGCACAGTCCCTGCGTGCGTCGGATCCAGGTGTTCCCCGAGGATGGTGTGCGTGTGAGAAAAGACCAAGAGGGAGAAAAAGATTGAGAGACAACATGTTAGAGGTATATAGATAGGGCTGATTTTGAGAATGTTACCCCCCCACAGGAAAAAAAAAAGTTAAAGGCAGGTGCCGAGCACCCAGGCTCTCAAGAAATTGAAAAAAGTGTTCAGATCACTTTTCAAGGGTGCCTGATTTAGCGTATTAACAACCCTCCCCCTTGACGACATGATGATAGCAGCAACAGCGGGGAGATAAAAGGGTCTTTAATGCCGACCGGTAGAAGCCATCGATGTTGATCCTCAAGTTGTAATTCTGCCACTTGACTTCTATGGCCGTTCTGGCTTAGCGACGCAGACGGAAGGAAAAGGAGTAGATGGGATACAGCTGGCCCGAAATGCCAAGCATGCTAAAGGCCGACAAAACAGTGGGAAGCCAAACAAGGGCCGATTCCGTGACGGAGCTGCGGCAGTCGAGCGATCACAAGCCGCGCTAGTGAGAGTGATGCAGGGCTAAAGAACACGGGGGCGCCCTCGAAAAGTGAAAGAAGAAGACACGTTTTTGACTGACCCGAGGCGTACACCAAGCAAGCGGCGTAGGCTTGTCACGATGCCGTTGTACGTGTGATAGGTGCCCGCCAAGAGTAGACCGGAATAAAGGGGCAGGGCCAATGGTTTGTAAACGCTAAAGCTGTCGTAGATGGCGGCCAGGTCGGCAGGATCGTCGTAGTACCACGGCAAGACGCGGGCGTGGACCACGTGCATGGTGATCGTTCCAACTAAAAAGTAGCTGCACCGGGCAAGCAGAACAATCATAAGGCAATGCGAAGAAAGTGGCAGCCCCACTTTTCCCTCCATCCCCAAAATAGGACATCAAGTAATTAGCCCTCGGTATCCGGAGGATGCGCGATCACAGGGAGTGGAGCATACCCTGTGAAACGCTGCAAGGTGCTGCTGGTATCCTGCTTGGGCGGCGCCCCCTTGAGCTTGAAGTTGGCCAGAAGATGGGTGCCAAGGACAGAGGCACCGAGCAGTTCAAGGTGGGGCCGCTGGTAGAGTTCTCGAAGCGCCATCTATCCATGAATGTTGCATGATCGTGCGAGCCAGTGAGGGGCACTTTAACAACCAGCTGGCTGGAGAGGCGATGACGGCCAACGGCGTTGGGATTGCAAGGCAAACACGGTTGCAGGCTAGCCCTCAGTTCTCCCTCCGCGCCCCATCGGCCCCAACCATACGGACCAATATGTTGTCGTGGGTGGCTTGTGAGACGAGAGCCGCCCAGTGGTTGAAGATGTGCATGGTGGTGTAGACTGTACGTGAATCAATCACCGAGGTGGCGGGTGCAGGGCAAGTGAGCTGCAACGAGTGATCGAGTCTTGTGCAGTCTGAGAGCAAACCTGAGAGTCCGAGGCCGGAAACGGCCTGCACGCGGCGCCAACCCGCAGCCTCGGTAGCTGTTAGTGTCGACATTGTTGGTCTGAATATAAAAATCAAAAGCAGTCCACGGAGTGATCCAGACGGAGATGGTCTCCGAGCCCCTGCCTAACATGTAAATATGCTTGAAAATAAATGGAGAGAGAGAAGAGAGGGACGCGAGAGAGAGAGAGAGAGAGAGAGAGACGAGAGAGAAGAGACGAGAGAGAGAGAGAGAGAGCAGTGAGAGAGAGCAGTGAGAGAGGGAGAGAGTTTGAGAGAAAGAGCAGAGAGCGAAGAAAGAAATCACACAGTACACAAAGTCTAAAAGCACTGCATAATACCACACGAAAAATACCAGTATCTACTGTCAACTTCTTCAACAACCTCTATAAAAACTACAACAACTATGCCTTTCTCGGGCTCTTTGTGTGAAATTCAGTTTCCCTTGTGTGTGTGTGTGTGTGTGTGTGTGTGTGTGTGTGTGTGTGTGTGTTTTTTTGACGCAACTGACACTGACACAGACACACACACGCAGCCGGTTGATCAAAGAACGGCAGCGCCTTGTGGTAAAGTGCTTGCAGAGACGATAGCTTTGCGGGTGGTTGGATTGGTGTAGCATAGGCGAACGGGGCGTGTGACGTCCTGCCATTGATCGTCATGGGTACGTACGTGGGCTGCTTTCGTTGGGGGTGGTGTTGCAGGACTGAATGGGGTGAAAGTTGATGGAAAAGGGAAATTTTAGTGGCGATGGCGCTGACCGCGTCTCCATCCGCATTGGTTTACAGCAGAGAAGAGCCCGCATCGTGAGGGTGTCCTGCTCAAATGGACCAACTATATGAAGGGCTTTCAGCCCCGCTATTTTGTCCTCCACAATGGCCAGCTCTCCTACTACAAGTATCGACCCTTGGCCTCCATCCGCGCAAGCCTCTGCTCCTGTGCCGTCGTGGCATGCAGACGAGACCTGATGCGCGCGCTATGATCTGGCACCTGCTTGTAGGAATAAGGATGAGGTCAACCACACCTGCCGTGGTACACTCATTTTGATTGATGCGGAGATTGACATTGGTCTCGGTTCCAATTTCATCATTCACGCCGGTAAGCGTGAATGACCATGCCGTCCACGTTGCCCGTGTGCCTGAGGGATATTCCCGCGTGCTTGCGGTGTGATGCAGGCCTTCCGCAGCAGCAAGGGCAGTCTTATCACTTGCGCGCCTCCTCCGAGGCCGAGCGCAGTGCCTGGCTGGGCTCGCTCCAGCTGGCCAAGGTGCGTGGCGAAGACCTGATTCTCACGATGCAGGCCTTGCCTGAGCCTCACAGCCGCGGTGGCTTGTGTTCCCCATTGGTTGTACCACATCTTCCAACAGCAACTGGCACACAACAAGCGTGCTTCCAAGCAGGTGGCCAGGTACGGCAGCTGTTTCCTGTTGCCACACGCCCGTTTCTTCATGTGTGGTTGTGTGCATGCGTGTCTGTGTTTGGAACATCATCATGCCACAGGCACTGTGTCTACAGCACGCTCTTACCGTCGTGGCTGAATACCAATCCTGCCTGACATGTGGGGCCTTGGCAGCTCCATCTCATCCACCTCTGGCAACGCCGCCCAACTCAATTCGAGCGTTGATCTGAAGCGATCGGCAGTGCTCATGATCAACGAGTCGGATGATGGTGAGGATTGGAACGGCTCTGATCCCAACACACAGCAAGCTCACAGGCGCATGCTTTCTGCTTGTGTGGGGTAGATTCGTGGAGCGATGACGATGCCCCGGTCAACTTTGACGAGCACCCAGACAACAAAGAACTCTTTCGTCTTGGCGTCGAGGTCAGTCTGGAAAGCACGCTTCCATTCATGCGCTCTGATCCAGTTCAACAATGTCGTCCGTTGTTGTTCCTAATATCTTCCTGGTCTTTCCTTTGACGGTGGTCCTCCATACGAATGCAACATAGCTGGAGACCACATCCAATACGCTCAGTCAGGCCTTTAGCAGTGTAGAGCCCTATGTGTCAGTCGAGGGGTCCGAGGAACTTCGCCGTTGCCAAAAGCTTCTCAAGTACGTGCTGTGCTTTTGAGCCTGACATGAGCCCGGTGAGCCTGTCACTCCCCTCACCATTGATTGATCCGTGTATAGAAAAATGACAAAGCAGCGCGATGCCGTCTTGAGCAGCGCGACGGCCTTGCATCAGCGTTGGCTGCGTCTTTTCATGGCTAGCGAGGCCAAGCGCCTGGACCTTGCTGATGCTCTGGTGCGTCCTCTCTGTCAAAGCCTCGATTCCAAAAAGAGGCTAAGCTGAGTGGTCCACTCACCGAAGCGGCCTCGTACGCCATTCCCGATAGGAATCGCTGGCTGCTGAGCATCGCAGACTGCAGGCGCGCGCGCGCCAAGTTACAAAGCAGGCTTTGGCATCTGATGCCGCTGAGGTGCTTGAGGTCTGTCGGAGCTGCGCCCAGCCCGTCGCAGGCCCCATGAAGCCGATGCTGGACAAGGCTGACTTACGTTTTGAATCATGCATTTTAGTCGGCCGAGGAGCCCGTGGGAGGTCCCGAGACTGACGATGAGGAGTTTTTCGACGCCCAGGAAGACCCCTTTGACCTTCGTGCGTCCACCGCGTCGGACACGCCATCTCTGCCAGCTCCGCGTGTGACGGTGCGTTGAGAGACTTGGGGACGACCGCTCTTTGCCCCGACACAGTGACATGGTTGTCTCACTATGTATTTATTCTCTCTGATTCATCTATATTGTGTGTCGCGTGTTGTGTGTCTTGTGTGTGTGTGTGCGTGTGTGTGTGCGCTTGCGTGATACGGATGACATCACAGGTGGAGATGCGCACGTCGATCCCATTCCGACCGGACAAGACGACAAGCCTGTGGTCCATCATGAAGAACTGCATTGGCAAGGAGGTCGGTCTTCCAGCAGTGTCGTATCTCGCACCTTGATGGATCTTGACTCGCCACATGACTCAGAATTGTGCTTGGGATCCCACTGATCTTGTAGCTATCCAAAATCCCCATGCCCGTCACGTTTAACGAGCCCATCTCTTTCACTCAGCGTCTGAGCGAGGACTGCGAATATGCACACTTGCTGGATGAGGCTGCGGCGTACGTGATGCTCTCCAGCCCAATGGTCCATGCAGCCTGCCGCGCTCTCGTGTTTTCACGCAGCACACATCTCAAATGCTTAGTACGACGGATCCCTATCATCGAGCGGCATTGGTGTCAGCCTTTACCATCTCTTCCTTTTCTTCTGGCGCGTGGCGCACAGGTTTGTACCAGGGCCCACGCATGATTGCGGCAGCGTACCAGGCTTGTGGGGTATTCGCTGGTTTGTAGTGTTCACGAGTGGCCTTTAAAATATGGTCAGGCAAGCCGTTCAATCCTTTGCTGGGAGAGACCTTTGAGCTGGATCGTCGAGCCACGCATGGTTACAGTTGCATCCTCGAGCAGGTTTGTTGGGTGCTAGCCCGGGTTTTGTGCCTTTGCGCATGCTCCAGCGTTCCAGCCTGACGAGCACGCAATTTCATCATTGGCGACCTGTCTTGCTTCCGGGAATAGGTCAGCCACCACCCGCCCATCTGCGCCCTTCATGCGACCTCGGAGCGAGGTTGGACGTTTTGGCAAGATTTTTCCATGAACTCCAAGTTCCGGTTGGTATCATCCCCCGCCCTCCGAAATGGATCATGAAGTGATCACGAAGCCACGAGAGCCAAAGACGCGCTCCCCGTTTGGTTAAGGTTGGCTTCATCTGACTGCGCCATCCGTCTGTATGACAGCGGAAAATATCTCGAGGTGGTTCCCACGGGCATCAGCCACATCATCTTCCATGATAATGACGATCATTTCACCTGGACCAAGGTGAGCGTTGTGTGCATCGTGTCAATTATCTTTGGATTGCGTCCGAGTCACCAGCTGACCGTGACGGTTGAGGGGTGGTTGGCATTCAGGTGTCGACGACCATCCACAATATCATTGTGGGTAAGCTGTGGCTGGAAAATGCTGGCAAGATGCTGGTCACCAACCACACGACCGGCGTTGTGTGTGAGCTGGATTACAAGCCATACTCTTTCTTCTCCAGTGCCGAGCCGCGCACCGTGGTGGGCCAGGTGAAGGACGTGAGTGGCAAGGTGCACCTGACACTGAACGGCACCTGGGACAAGCAAATCAGCCAGGAGGCCCCCGGTGAGTCGCTCACGCCTCTCACGATGTGTCCAGAACAAGCCTCTGATTTAAAAGCGGGTGGTTGGCCTCATGACACATGCTTCTGATTGGGCTAGATGATGCCAATGGCATCTCCAAGCGAGTGCTGTGGAAGCGCACAGAACACGTGGCCAACTTTGAAAAGATGTATGGTTTCACTCAAATGGCCATCGAGTCCAACCAAATCGGCGTCTTTGAAAAGGGCTGCGCTGTGACTGATGCACGTTTCCGAATGGACAAAAACGTCATGGAGCAAGGCGACTTTGACATGGCCAATCGCGTCAAGCACTTGCTCGAGGAAGGCCAGCGCTTTCGTCGTCGACAATATGAGAAGACGCAGACTCGGTGAGTTGATGGCCAACGCGCATGCCCACACCTTTTTGTTGTTCAGTGCATTTTTTTGTACATGCTTGTCCATGTGCTTGGGGTGGGAGCGAAACGGTGAAATTGGTGCCAAATTGGCTTCTGTTTTCATGCTCGATAAACCCACCTGATTTGCGGGGATGTCCTTTCTTTTGTGCTCTTGGGGCCACAGGTGGACACCGTGTTGGTTCGAGCTTCGAGATGATCCTGTTGTTCCAGGCCGCAAGTCCCACCAGTACAAGGTTCGTCAAAAGCATGGCCTGCGGTCTGCCGACCCTGCCGTGGTCCTTCCTTGAAGCTGATCGCCATCCATTGCGGTTCTGGCTGGCAGGGCGGATACTGGGAGGCCAAGGATAGCAACAACTTTGGCGCACATGATATAGTGGACATTTATGATATTAGCCCTGTGGCTTCCAAAGATCCAAAGGCAGCTGAGGCGGCCGATCAAGCCAAAACCATGAATGTGACGTATTAGTAGGGCATGACCTGGCCGATACGTTCTGTCGCCCCATTGCTGCCCTTGCAAACCTTGCGACTGACTTGGCCATCGAGACTGGTGGCTGGCAGCGATCAATCAATTCATCAAAATCATGTGGCACATATTGCGGTGTGCATGGAATACGAACCAGACAAATCGATTGGTGGTGAAAGGGCCAGAGCAAGACTCAAGGAAACGGACGACATATGACACGGGCTTGGACCCGGCTGGTCAGATCACCGAGGCGGGTGCCGAGCAATTGGGGTAGATTTAGAGCAACAGAAGCCATTACATCTTGGACAGTTTGGCGCTTTTGGCCGCATTGCTGCCACTAGTGCCGCCGTTGCGTTTGGCCTTGTGCTTGTTGTGCTTTTGTCGCTGCGTAAGTCGAGCAAGACGGTCCACTTGCTTCTTTTCCTGGCGCTTGAGCTCGAGCGCCTCTTCAGCCTCTTGAGCCTTGGCGGAACGCTTGGCTTGCTCCTTGTTGAGATCGAACTGAAGCTCAAAGTTCTTACGGCTTCGCGTAGTGACCTCCTTTTGTTGGTAGCGACGGCGCGGGCTAGGGAAAAGAGAACACGGGCACAACCAAGACGAGGAGCGCGGTGAGTCGGTCGGTTCATTAAGCACTGAGCCACATGCACGGTATAGTATGAGCGATGCTACACTGAATGCGAGCCTACTTTGCTTCACGACGATACTCGACAATGTTACGCATCACCAAGTTGTTCAAACGATCCTTGACCAGATTACCCTCGGGCTGCAAAAAACGGCCGAGACACCCAGGTTCAGAGATTTGATAGAAAGCATTGTGACACCTTCGAATCCGCCCAGGAAGGAGAATGAGGGGCCGGACAGAAAACCAACCGCTAAGCGACGCAGGCTGCCCTCGAGCTCCTCCGTGAGCTTGATTTCAGGCTTTGGCTTCCTAAGATACGAAGATACATGTTGCCAAAGTCCCGTGGCCACAGAGGCACAGACAACAGACAACGGGGATGAGCGAAGCAAGTGCAGATAACCAAAGAGAGCGACAAGTCGCGTGCTGCAAAGACACAACTATAAAACAACAATAAAAAAGACAAAAGAAGAGAGAGCGCGCTCAAAGTCAAACCCCAAAACAAACAAATGAACCAAACAAGAAGTACACACAGACACAGACACAGACACAGACACAGACACAGACACAGACACAGACACAGACACAGACACAGACACAGACACAGACACAGACACAGACACAGACACAGACACAGACACAGACACAGACACAGACACAGACACAGACACAGACACAGACACAGACACAGACACAGACACAGACACAGACACAGACACACACACAGACACACACACAGACACACACACAAGAGGGACAAATCAACGTCAAAACTGAAAGTTGAACTGACTTGAATTCGTATTTGCTGAGTTTGCGAGGCTCCAGTTGGCGCTGAGCCTTGACGGCAGCGCGAGCGGTAGCTTTAGTGCGCTGCTTGCGTTCAGCGTTGCGAATCTAGCCGCCCGGAAGTGTTGGTGACAAGTTGAGGAAGGGTGTCTGGCCAGACAAAACATCGAGTGCAGGCGTGGTAGGAATTAAGAATCAAGTCAGCAGGCTAATCATACTTCGCTGTTAATGGCGTCCAAGCGATCCAGGTCCTTGGCAAGCTTAGCCTGCGACTTTTTGGCGCGGTGGGCAGCCACCTAGTAGGCGCAAGGCAAAGACAAGCCAGGTAAGGTGGCGCGACCAACCACATCAAGGGACACCACAGACGGTACAGATCGGCAGGCACATACACGCTCGTCGTGCTGCTTGGCGGCTTCACTGCGTTCCTTGCGCTTGGACCTGGCGCGCACGTACATGGCAAAGGCACAATTAAAATGACAAAGGCAGCAGCGAATGTGAGTATCAGTCCTTTTTAAACCAGATGCAAAGCAGGGGCAAGGCCAAATGAAGCAGAGCCACACGGACTTGATGTCTTGCCGCTTGGCGGCCTCGGCGTCATCTTCATCCTCATCGTCATCCTGGTTCGAGGCTGATTTGGCATCCTGTTCCTCAAGCGTGATTGGTTGGACAAACTCGCTCAAGCCCTCCTGCAGTTGCTCCATCATCTTGTAGTTGCTCGCAGACTTGGAGAGATTCTCAGGCAGCTGCTTGCGCACTCGATTCCTTGCCTGCAGAACAGGGTTATGTTTGGCCGGAATGAGGTGTTGCGGTCTGTACTAAAATCCAAAAAGGCAATGGAGTACACTTGTCCGTCGAGATCTTACGCGTTCGGCTTTGACCTCAATGTCCGTGGCGGTCTCCAAAAGGGAATGGTGATCTGTGGCAAGGGGGTTGTATGACTGTCCAGGGTGGCAAGGCTCAACAACCTTGGTCTTTGATGCATCTGAAGAAGCAATTCCAATGTGAGAAGGAAAAGCCAAGGGAAGGAAACACAAAGTCATGACTTTTGAGAAGGAGGGAGGGGGTGCAAACGTACGAGGCTTATGCACGCTGTCGGGGATGGCGACCGAGCTTGGCTGCAGGTGCTGAAGGAAAGGGTTGCCGTTGGTTGGATCTTCTTGTGTCTCATCCCAGACCTGATTTCAGCAGGTGAGAGAGCGATTGTCAATTCATACCTCGCCCACCGATAACTGCAAAGATGAGAAGGGTCAAGGGGGCATACCGTGGTCTCAGGATCAGCCTCTTCCTCCTGGCTGGGAGGAGCGGCTGTGTTTGGCTGAGCCGGCTTGATTTTCTTGGCCTTGATTTCTTTTTCCAGCGAATCTAATGATCATGGACATTGCGATGACATTGAGAAAACCTTGATGTTCCAAGGGTACCACCAAGGACTGGATGACAGGCCAGAAACGAGTCCTCCACCGAGGATGGCAGGCCGTACATTCAGTGTTCTTCTTGGGCAGGGACACGACAGGCTTGATGTTGGGGTTGGGCGCAACAACTTGATCAACGCGCAGGACCTTGCTGGCAGCGCGGGCCTTGCGACCCAGGCGCACTATCAAGTAGCGCCCCACGATTCGAGCCGCAGCACGAGCGTGGTAACGAGGCGGGTTTGAAACAGGATTCAATCAGAATGAGAGGGGCACTTTCTTGAACACGAGGAAGAAAACTGAGAGCAGACAAGGGTTCCAGGAAACAAGGCTTCCTTGGGAGAGACGAAAGCAAACAACATGTGGCGTACCGGGCTTGGCAGCAGGGGCACTTCCAGTATCAAGCTGAAAGAGCTGATCATCACTTTTGGATTTCAAGTCATCCGCCCCTGTTCGCTCCTCAAAACGTCGTTGATCAATGGCATCTCTGTCAAGCGGGGCCGAGGTCGCCAGAAATGCGCTGGTCAGACAAGACCCAGCGCTATGCTACGTTCATGGAGGAAAAACCACCAGCACTTTTACGAATATACGTACTCAACAGCCGACATGTCAATGTGTTTGCGCATGTTCTTCTTGTCGCTCCGCTTGCCACGCTGCTTGCGGCGCAGCTGCGGATGGATGATACGAACCAAGGGTTAACGAGCAGCCAGACTTGACATGGGGCTGCCAGCGTCTCAGGAAGAGTGCTTCATGTGAGCGGTGCAGGTGCTGAAACACTGCCTGGCATACCTTGTGCGCGGACACCTCCTCAAAGGTGCCATCGGCCTTGGCGCGAACGACAGTCGTCATGACGGCGAAAGCTGGGAGGTGTGTATGTGTGTGTGTGTTGGCGTATCGAAAAGCGCTCACGGCTGTGCGTGCGTGTGCAATTTTAACACAGCACAGGCTCCTATACCCAAGGTCACTCTCCAAAGATCGTTGACCCGCTGCCTTTTCTTGCGCGAGCCCCTGCGACCCCCCTCCTAAAAAAAAAACGAGAGAGAGAGAGAGAGAGAGAGAGAGAGAGAGAGAGAGAAAAGCGAGAGACAACGTCAACCAATTTTATAACACGTGCTCTTGCTCCTTCATGCTTGCTCCCCCTTGAGTGTCGTGGTGGCTGAAAAAGAAGAAGCAGATAAATGTCAGCATGTATTGTCAGACCATCTACATTTTGTCAGACAAACTGTGTTGATGTTGATGTTTTTTTTTTTTTTTTTTCACGCTGGTCTTGAGGTTGCGACGCGTTTGTCGCCATGGCGGGACGAGGTGCAGGGGGACGGCTGCTGCAGGTTCTTGGGGCGGCGGTTGTGCTGCTGGGTGTGCTTTCGAAAAGCTGGGGGGAGGATCCACCGCCGTTGCCGCCTGGTCTAAGCACGACGTTTCTGGATACCTTTGACCAAGATGGCCTGCAAGCGCCATGGACGGCTTCGGCCTACACACATCTGAACGCCTGTTATCAACCGGCAGCTGTGACAGTATGTTGCTTGCACCAAACCCAGGGCTGAGAAGATTGGACATGCGTTTGATATGGGCTGAGTGCACTGCTTGGACTGACCTGGATGGCGCACCTACGCAGGTGGCTAATGGCTTGCTCTCCATCACGGCCCAGCGGCTGAGACACAACATCACATGCGTAGATGGGGCGAACCGGGGATACACCAGTGGCCTGGTCAATACCAGCACGGGGTTTGCTCAAAAGTACGGTCGCTTTGAGGCGCGTGTCAAGATGCTGAACAACAGTGGCGCAGGGCTACATCCTACTTTTTGGACCCTGGGCAACACCTCGTGCTGGCCTGCGAGCGGCGAAGTCGACATTATGGAGGTGGAGGGTCGAAACTACCCACCTCTGCACACCACCTACACCACCAACGTCCACGTTGCCCAGCCAGGCTGCTGTGCTCATGACTGCGCCTTCAACGCAAACTTGGCTCATTTCTACAACGAGAACGACAATCTTTCAGGCTGGAACACTTGGGGCATGGAGTGGAACTCGACTGCCATGACCTTTTTCCACAACGATCGCGTGACAGCCATCCTAAACGATTCCAGCGTGGTTGCCCTCTATCAGCAGCCACAATACGTCATTTTCGGCCTGGCCATTCTGGATGAATCCATCCTCCCGAATGAGAATACCACCTTTCCCTGGACCGTACAGGCTGACTGGGTTCGCGTTGCTCAGTATGACACCCTGCTTCACAGATTGCCGCTGCCCCACAGGACTGACCGTCAATCCTCGCAGCAGTCGAACCCCCTTCCTTCTCGACGTATCTCGTGACCTCATGACTGCATCTATGGGGTGCTGTTTTCCGTCAAGTGGCCGAGTGGGTTGCCTTGCGCTGTCATGAACACCATTTGATACCCATGTGTGTTTCTCTCCCAGCAGGCCGGCCAATCATTCCGCTCCACCGTCCTTGGATGACACGGCAGCCTTACCGGGGCTGAGCGATTGAAAGCAGAGCCATTGACCACTCTATCAACTATAACGGCACATTTTGCTACACAAACCTGCACTGAAACACAATTGAAAACGACATTGAGTACCTTTTTACCACATAAACCCAGAGAGAGAGAGAGTTTGAGAGAGAGTTTGAGAGAGAGAGAGAGAGAGAGAGAGAGAGAGAGAGAGAGAGAGTTTGCGAGAGAGAGAAACGAGAGTTTAAGAGAGAGAGAGAGAGACAAAGAGTTCAAGAGAGAGAGAGAAGAGTTAGAGAGAGAGTTTTCGAGAGAGAGAGGGAGGCCTCTTCTTTTTCTTTCTCACGGCGGTCATGGCAGCGCAACACCCACGACTGAGTCACCTGCTACGCGGCTCGCAGCCACTGATGGATCCTCGTCGGTACGATTTGTGCGGTGAAAGGGCTTGTCAGTGTAGGGTTATACTGGCATTCCGCTCTTTGATCTCATCTCATCCACCTTTTCAACGTCAACAGGAATGGGTCGGACGCTCCCGGGCTTGGCGCCGGTGGTGGCCGACCTCCCGCAATGCCCTCGGCGCAGGAGACCTACTATTCATCCGCCGCGCATCGCGTGCTGACTCCACTGTCGTGGGAAGGCTACTTTGACTCCAAACACACGACATCAAAGGGCTTCACCTATTATCGCAAGGTGGGTGGCAGCTGGTTCCGCCTCGCAGCCCGGCTCCGGTCAAAAGCACGTACGGCCCTCCCGGTTCACCTCCAGTACTCGGCACGAACAGGGCACGACTGGGCCCAATGTTCTGCTCTTGCATGGCGGTGGGCATTCGGCTCTCTCCTACGCCTGCTTTGCCAAGCTGCTGAGCGAACTCTCTGACTGCCAGATCGTTGCGTACGACGCTCGTGGGCATGGTGCCACACAAGTCACGGAGGGATCGCCAGAAGGTGCGACATCCTTTGGCCTGGGTATCACTGTACTTGGTCTCAAGTCTTCGCTGCCCCTGCACGTGCCAATCTGCGTGTCACACGTAGATTTGAGACTCGATCGTCAAGTCCAAGATTGTCGCCACATTGCCGAAGAGGCCCTGGACTCCGCAGCCAAAACCATCATTATTGGCCATAGGTTCGTGGGTTTTGCGCTGGTGGCCTCGACCAAACACCAACATCAGCCCCCTTGCGTGCACCCATTACTTGATGAGCCTCACTGGCAGGCAATCGTGTAGTATGGGAGGCGGCGTGGCGGCACACGCCGCGCATGGCGGCTTTCTGCCCAACCTTGCTGCTGCCGTAGTCATTGACGTCGTGGAAGGTCCGAGAGCTGTTACATGCCATGGCGCGCTTTGGGGCATTGGTTCGGCTGCTGAGGGAAAGGGCAAGCTTTATACTCACCCGTGTGCTCTCCTTTGGAATGTCTGCATGTGGCGGCATGGCTGTGTGGCAGGAACGGCCCTGGACGCCCTCAGCGGCATGAAGTCCTTCCTGCGGTCGCGACCCGCTTCCTTTGCCTCCGAGGAGGTTTGTGCCACGCTTTGAAGTATCCAGTATTGTTGCCTTCCCACATTCGCTGTCTCATGATTTATATCTGCCTGACCCCCGCAGGAGGCCATCAAGTGGAGCATCCGCTCAGGCCAGCTGCGGAATACCGAGTCGGCGCGCATCTCCATGCCTGCACAGGTACCCCATGCCTCAGCCCCTCGGCTTTTCACAGAGCGGGTCAAACCCAGGCAGCTCTTATTGTGTGTTTGCAACCCTAGGTGCGCCTGGCAGAGGAGGGAGAAGCAGAGGAACTTGAGGAGCAAGCCATACCCAACACCATCGTTGAAGAGGAGGAAGAGGAGGAGGAAAATGAGCCGGGGGTGGGCAGCGACAGTAGTCGGCGGTCAGGCAGGCAACAAGAAGGCGTTCTTCCACCCGAAGATGTCATGTTTGCCAAGCCACAACGCCAGGCTGCACCAGCAGAGAAGCAGCCCGGGAAATATGTGTGGCGCGTGGACTTGGTCAAGTCGGGTACGAGCAGAGCAAGGCGTGCCTGGCGTGGCTGCTGCTGAGGACCGCACCTTGTTGATCAGCTGCCGGCAGAACCTCACGGCTTTGATTGCTTGTAGCGCCTTACTGGCAAGAATGGTTTGAGGGTTTGAGCAGCACGTTTCTGCGCATTCCGGCCCTGACCATGCTCATGTTGGCTGGTGTTGATCGTCTCGACAAGGAGCTAACCATTGGGCAGATGCAAGGTTTGTGCTGCTGCTGCGTTGCTGTTTGCCCCAAACCCTCCCTTCTTTTCATGTTTTTTTTGGGGGGCGGGGCGGGGGCGGGGGTGCCTAGATACTGTGGAGGCATGTTATTTTTTTTTTTTTTTGTATGAGTGAGTGTTGATCGTGTTCTTCTGTCTTTGCACAACAACTCTAGGCAAATTCCAGCTCCAGCTTATGGCAAACTGTGGGCACTCCGTGCACGAGGATGCTCCAGGTTTGATTTTACCTGACTTTGCTGGTCTTATTCGTAAAGCACACGGCACATCACGTTCACTTTGGGGCCCCGTGTCATGGTATGGGTGTCTCGCCTGGCAGGCCAAGCAGCCGCCGCAATTGCCGACTTTTTGGCTCGCTTCAAGCTGGCGACACGCAAGCATCCTGCTTGAATAGACCATTTGAATAAAGGGGCACCCGTTTTCCAGCCGGGCAAGATGTTGCATAGCGCTGTGCGCTCTGATACCACCCTCTGGATATGTTTGCATTTGTTGCTCGATCTGTTTGCTGCTTAACGAGATGCGTCCACGAGACCCTCACGCAAGCGCATCGAGCCACACAAAATTTCTCTTCCGCCTTTGACACTGTGTACTGATTTCCTTGACAAGCCAATTCCTCGAATAAATTTTAGCCAATTGTACGCCTCAGGCTTGTTGTAGCGTAAAGGTAATATAGGCGGCCACAAACGCCAGCAAGGTCGCAGTCATCAGCATGACTGGGCTCGGGCCCGCCTCGTCGTCTTCCACCGACCGGCTCGTTGGCTTTGCACCATCCATGACATGGCGAACCATGCGTGCCACGCGGCTTGGATCACCGGCAGGGAAGGGGGCAAAAGCGGTCGTACGCCATTGATCGCAGGCAGCCGCCAAAGTCCTAATCAGACGAGTTTGCAAGATTAGAAACCGGCGCAGGTCGTTCGCGTCGCCAGCGAGAAGGGATGGAAAAGCGCAAGATCACGAACAAGAAGCCAGCCATCGATGGAAAGATGGAGCAGGGCATGACAAACAAGGATATGGAGAGAAATTCATGAAAACCGCGAAAGCAAAGTTGAAGCCACATGACTCACTTGGGATTGCAGCAGAGAGCGTGCCCGCTGTCAGCCATGGCCTGCGCCAGCTCGATTTGATGGTTATGCATGAGCTCCTCGTTTACCACAATAATCATGGGCTTGCCCGCTTCAAGCGTTTCTAAGATCGTGCCCGCTCCTGTGACGCACGGCGGAGATGAGGTGTCAATTTGACGGAAGTTGACATGCCATCGCCTAGCTGCACTGCGCGACCTCGCACGCACCTGCGTGTCCGATCACGAGGTCGGCGTTCAGGATTTCCTGCTGCAAGGACGGCTTGAAATCAAAGGTCTCGATGCGCAGGCCATCCGGGATCTTTGTCGCGGGTTCTGGCGCCGGGGCTCGCCCGTGTTGAATGTGCAATTCGGTGATGCCATCCCGGTGCAGTGCCTATGCGCAGGGCAAGCGAGCGGGCACAGATTGATCATGGGGGCGCCCCGAATCGTTGCCTGAACGGGGCATGGGAAAGGACCAACCTCAAGAACAGGTTCTGCAACGACAGCGTCTGTCAGGCTCTGAAATTGCGTGGTACCCACGGTCACAAATGCCCTCATGTTCGGAGGTTTTGAACCGCCACCGCCACCGCCACCGCCACCGCCACCCGTGACCGTGACCGTGACCGTGTCCGTGCTCTCTCTTCTCGCTGAGCAGAAAAATGATGACAATTTGCACACAACACACACACACACACACAGGAACGAATCCAATGGCGCAACCTTCGCGCTCGGGGGCGGAGCTGGGGGCAGGGCCTCAGGAACTGAAGATGGAGCTCTTGTTCCGGGCTGTGCAGAGCACTCGGCCGCATGATTTAACGCTGCCGTTCCCCACGCACTTTCAGCAGCCTGCGTCGGGGCCGAGTGAGGAGCCAGTCAAAGATTTTACAACCTTGCATGAAGCGCTTTGCGAGCGCCGGCATGAGCCAACGACTCAACGGACGCAGCTGCTGGCATGGTGTGAGGATTTGTATCCTCGGCTGCAGACCGTATCGGACCCAGCAGCAACGGTAATTCAACTGGTTTTGCTTTTTGCTCTTTCTCATTGGTGCTCCACAACTGTCCTTATCGCTGGGTGCATGCCTGTTCTGACCATGATAGATGCGCGCGCTCGAGGTCACCACAGGCCCAGCTAGCAGGGCTGCTCTGCCCACTCACATCTTCCAAGTCTTTGAAGATCGTTGGTGATTCTGCCTTTCTCCATGACTGCACGTTTAACGGTTGGCCCAGCTGGCGGAGATTTGCTGACAGACTAACCCTGGTTGCCCCTCTCCTTCCCCCACTACTTGCGGCTTGACCACAGCGGGTGCTCGGCGTGCCACACTCTTTCAAGAGCTGAAGGCCAAGCACGGTTCAACTCTTGCCTACCATGGTAGTGCCATGGAAAATTGGCATTCCATCTTGCACAATGGAGTAATTGGACTTCGGAACAAGTGAGGGCGTCACCATGATCGGCTTGCACCTACCACTTTTTTCTTTTTTCTTTCTCGTCTGGCATCTGAGCTGACGCGCCATTCCTTGCCCTTCTGCCAGGCAGGCTCTGTTTGGTGGGGGCACGTATTTATCCACAGACTTGACCCTGTGCGAAAACTACTCGCAAATGGCCTGTTGTCGGCCGCACTCGCCGTTTGGTGCACGCATGGCCGTTGTTGGGGTGTTTGAAGTTGCCCGCCATCCTGCCGTCAAGGTGCGAACCGAGTAGTGGTCCAGTGGTCTTTCATGCGCACCATGCGCACACCTCACATGTGGTCGTTTTTGCCTCACACGTCGAGGTAGTTTGCGGGTCATCAAGCCGATGATGCTGAAACCACCAGTCTTTCAGGCCGCGTTGAGATTCCAGACCGATGTGAGAAATCACTCCAGTTGTCGTTTGCCATCGCTGGTTGTTTGCGTTTGGTAGCTCATCGGCCCCTTGCGTGCTCAATCGTTTCTCAGATATAGTGGTGCCCAATGACGATCATCTACGACTGGCCTACTTGCTTGTGTTCACCGTGTCGGCAGGACCGCCGCCGCACCGCAGTACGTGTATACACCTTGACAGGCCAGCACGCATGCTTTCTTCTTACAAGCCTTTTTTTTTTTTATCTTTGTGCCTTGTCTTGTCTCCCCAGTTGGATCTGTGCAGGCATGGGTGCGCCAAAACTGGCTCTGGCTCATTCTGGCAGGCTACCTCATGGTATTGGCCATCGTGGGTTGGTGGAACACACCGGCAGGCCGCGCTTGGTGGCGTCGGATGACGACGAGTGACTGAAACTGGACTCTCTCCCGCGCTGAGGCGACCAATTTAGGAATGCAACTGTTGTCGACGTCACTTCAATTGGCATATTTGCGTCGCTCGGCACAGGAAGAAGGGCGCTTGCCCTTTGGACACGCTAGGCCTGAGGTAGCGAGGTGCTGGGATCGTGTAGCATGCGGTAGATCAAGGCTGCCGTCCAGTGATAATCGCGTACCCCGCCACTGTCCGCATTGCCTTTGCGCTCCAGGAGGGTGGGGGGGACCTGCACAGGTTTGATTACTCGTGAGTCAAAGTGAAATGGTGCATGGCTCGGGGCCCCGACAGCCCCAAGCACGTCCTGTAGCTTTCGTTCAACTTTGCAGCGCTCAGGCACCTACCCGATTGTCGGCATCATAAAACTCAAACAGAGCGCCTGTAGAGGCGTACCAGTCCCGTGTCATGTTGACGGTCTTGGACAGCAGTGTGTCTGCGACCTGTTGTGCCTCGGGTACCACCTGTGTAGATGTCATGCCCCATGAGGACAGAATGACGCGGCAGTCCGGGCGCATTGGCATGTTTGAAAGCACGTCAAAGCCGTGCCAGAAGCACAGCAACCAACCTTGGCATAGCGCTGCAGGCCTAGGTACACAAACCAATTGATGTTGATCCAGCTGGGGCCGCGCCACATGTTGGTGCTGTAGTCACTGGAGCCGCGTGCAATGGTCGGAATGGGGGCATGGGTACCAAAGACAGCAGGGTCTTGCAGATAGCCAATGAGCGTCTTCACGCGGTCCACGGGCATGTTGGGCAGCATGAGGGGTAGAAGCCCAGTGGGAATGGTGTAGGGCATGTAAAACCCAGAGAAATTGCGGTAGTGGTACATTTGTGTGACGTTGTCCCAGAGCAGAGTGTGAATCTGCTCGATCATGAGCGTTGCTTGTTGGCTCCACAAGTCTGCATTGGACGTGTCGTTGAGCTCACGGTAGATCAGACCAAGGTGATAGCAATCAATGGCTGCAAAGACGGAGAAGTCGGGCGAGTCCATTTGGACGCCCGAGTCGAAGACGGGTGACTGGTCGAGGCCCGACTCAAAAGGGCTCGACCATTCTAGCAAGTGATTTGCGTTGATATCCCTGGCAAAGGGGGCGGGGAGATTTCCGAACCAAAAGCCAGAGCCACGAGCCACGGGGGACAGATTGCAAAATGAACGGGTGGGCCAGACGAAAGAGTGGCGGCGAGGGCGCACGAGGCAGGGACGTACCGTTCAGTCAGGTCATAGCTGAGATAAGCGGCCAGCTTTGGGGCGGCATAGCGCAACCGATCCAGGTTGTTTGTACGTTGATAGTTGTCCCAAATAGCCCAGGCAGCGAGGGGCGGTTGCGTTAGGGTGAGGGTTTGATCATCCCATGGGTTGTACTGGATGGGCAAGCGGCCATCCGAGGTCTGGACCTCGAGCAGGGCCTGCATGAAATCCCAGGCCAGGTCGGGATCAATCAGTGAGCGTCCAAAGGTGTGAAAACACGAATCCCAGAGCCACATGGCACGGTGAGGTTGGCGATCGGGCGTGCTCCAGGCCGTGGTAAGTCGGCCCTCGGGGCTTAAGGTATTGGCTCGCATCACGGAGTATGCTTTGCGGCTGAGACGGTCCAGGCCTGTGTCATTGAGCCTGGGTGGGCGAGCCATGGCGGCGAGGCGCGTGCTCAATGTGCCTTCCAGGTCTGCGTTGGCCAGGCCAGCAGCAGCGGTGGCCAGTGCCTCCTCGGGAAGCGTGGCATAGGTCACGGCAAAGCGCTGGGTCGTGCTGTTGCTACAATAAGCCATGTACTGCTTGTTGTCAGCATCGGCACTGAGGTAGCAATTACCAGGCGCACTCACGGCATCGCGCAGAATCACCGATGAGGCCTGACCCAGCAAAAGATCTCCAGAGGCGTACGTGAGCGCCAGATATTCTGAGCCACGTTGTACAAGAAGCACATCATGTGTGGCCGCCAACACCTTGTCCTCGCCATCATTCTGTCAAAGCGGAGCATGAGTCGTCAAAGGCGTGGGGCGGAGGGTTGTGTGTGTGTGTGTGTGAGTGTGTGTGTGTGTGAGTGTGTGTGTGTGTGTGTGTGTGTGTGTGTGTGTGCATGGTAAAGAGGTCCAAGTGACAAAGGGCTCCGGGTGGGCCAGGAAAACGCACCGTCAGGGCAAAATTGAGAAAGAGCCAACGGGGCGTGGCAAGTGTAAAGTAGATTCCATAGCGCTGGGGCGTGTGCAGCCCTACAAAAGTGCTCTCCTAAGTCACCAACGAGTCAGAGTGCGGGTCGTGTCGTGCAAGGAGGATGAGCCGCGCTTGCTTTTTTCACTCAGTGTCACATTGACTCGCACACAAAAAATACGCAAGCGGCGGACCCGGCACTGACCGAGCTGGTGGCGCCATCCTGGCCACTGAAAGCAAAGATAAGGCCTATCACGCATGCACGCACAGCCACCCACAGTCATTGGCGGTGGTCAGACCAGACCCATGGATCTCGCTGCCGATCGCGAGTGTCAGGCGCTGAACAAGGCGCAACGCTGATTTGTCTTGACCATACACCAGACCGTACCAGAATACTGGCCCAAGGGCTTGCCCAGAGCATCACCACCATAAATGTTTGGACAGTTATCTGGCACAGGGACCATCGCCAGCACCACAAGGGGAGCCAGAAGCAGACCCAGCACGAGCAAGGTCCGTGCCATGCTGCTGCTGATGATGATGATGATGATGATGATGTGTGTGTGTGTGTGTGTGAAGAAATTGGTCCAGTTCTTGCTCCCCTTTCACACTTTTTGTTTTGCTTTGCTTTTTTTTTGTTTCGTTCGTCAATGAGAAGCTTGTGTGGGCGTGCGAGTGTGGGCATTGACATGATGGGCCAACGCTTTTGTCAAGCACATGCCACCTTTTCGATTCTCGACACGAGGGAGAAAGCAGACAGCAGCAACATGATCATGTGACAGAATGATATCGCGCTTAGCAGTAAGTCTGAAGCCAGGTCTTCTCGTACTTCTCGGCGTAGCGGTAGATGCACGGGCAGGGCTCGGTCCAGACAAAATTATTGGGGTCGCTCAAGGAGGGCTCCCAATCCGGGTTGAGTTCACGAAAGAGGCAGCCGTCACTGGACAGGCGCAGGAACACGCGTGAGAGGCACCAGTTGCACCTGTGGCCGGATGATGGTGACGGGAGAGCCAGAACATACCATTCGAGGCCGGTGCAACCCTCGCAATTGTTGGCCGCCTGTTCAATGGGGATTGAATATTTGGCCCATAAATCATCTACAGGTTGGCAGGCACATGCCATGTCAGCCCGCACTTAAATTTGGCCGTACCAGACTCCACGAGCACAGGTGGAAAAACCAACAACGAGGCCAAGATGGTATAGATTTGTGCTCTGCAACAAGCAGCTTCAACTTACACGTGCAGCGATTGGGATCCGTGTTGCCGCTGTAAGGTACTGACTGTCGCAGCTGAGTTGGGTTGACGGGATTGTTCAAGCAGTCGGGCATCGAGTCGAAGCAATCTGGCGATAATCAATCGAGGGCAGGCAGGCATCACGGTCACCAAGAGGGCCAGCTCAATGGTCTAGAGTATGGTCATTAGGCTTACCGGTACTCGTCACGTATTGGTAGTTGTTCTCAAACTTGAAATTGAAGTAGTCTGTCTTTCCCGAAATGATCTGAAGCAGGCGCAGTGTGGGTTGGGCAGTGATTTGTCCAGGTGGCAACAGTCGCAAGCGAGTCAACTCGGATTCTTTGTCTGATTTTGGTGGGGCGCTCAACACATACCTGGCAGACGGCGTAGGTTGTGTCAGTCGCCCCACAGTCCAGGGCTGAAATGTTCCGTGCCTCGCCAGGCGCAAACGTGCCATTGCAGGGGCAGTCCCGGTTCAGCTGGGCGGCAAGGTAGAACGCTGGAAGGAAAACCAATAGAACCAAGTCAAGAAGACAAAGCCCGGGGTTATCAAACGAGCCATGTGGCACAAGCACTGGCCGGTCAAGGTCTCATTCTCACGTACTGGCAGTGTTGATGCCGAGGGCAATGTAACTGTCGGAAAATGTAAGCTTGGCGATGGAGAGGGACTTGTCAATGCGGTTGGTACCATCGTAGTTGACTAGCAGGAAAAGTCACTTGTCAGCGCCAGGTGATGATGGAACGGTTACATTTGCCGTGCCGAGGGGGGGTTTTTTTTCGCCAGTTTGGCGCCGGAGCACGTACTGGTTCCCGTGTATTGCGTCTTGTACAGCACATCGGAGGTGATTGGGCGGCAATCTCCATCACCCACGTCTAACGCCGGTGCCCATACAAGCAAGCATGGCAGTAGGTTGGATTAGGCACGATCATGCCAGACGAAACAGATGGAGCAGCTGCACCGGTCTGAAAGACTATGATGGGACCTACAGAAGGTGGTGTCGATCGTGTCTGCGTCAGCATGTCGTGACACAGCCAGAGGGATGGGCGCAAGGGCAAAGTGAGAAGTACCAGCTGCGCATCAACATGAACAAGTGCATGGTGGTGGAGGCACGCACAAGTATAGGCATCGGGGGTGTAGAAGCGAGTCTGAGCGTAGGAGATGTTGTTGCCTGCAATGTTCTGGCCAGTGGTAATGCAGGCTGCAACAAAAAAGCCTGCAGGCGTCCGAGCGAGGGCCAGCACTGAGTTGGGGCAGCGCTGGTGGCCACGATATGTGCAGGATTTGGCACGCTTTGAACGTTGCAGCGGCGCCAACTCACCCTGTAGCTTATGCGGCAGGGTCAGGTTGAACTCTAACGCGCACGCACGCCCGCCCGCACGATCGCGGAGGCCAAAGGACAGACCGGCATGGTAATGCATGAGTTTCATGTCGAGCAGCAAGGATGGACCAGTGTTCGATAGGGACAATGAGACACGTGATCTAGCCTCAAAGCGTGCCACGCACCTCCCGGCTCGGCCACGGCAGTGTGAAGAGGCACAGCCCAGGCGGTGCCACAGGCCCACACGCTCAAGCCAAGAACAAGCCACCCTGGCTTGGTCATGTCAACGTTTCAGATCAACCACGTCCAGCCAAATCCCAGAGCCCCTGGCCTGTTGATAAAACGAGGCGCTGATCCACAACCTCCCCACTTGCTAGACACACTTGATCACAAGCACTCTGTCCATGTGGAGCACGACTCTGACCCTGTTGCGCTGCCGTTCACAACAAATAATAATAAAAATAAAAAATGAGAAAAGAAGGACGCGGAGAGAGTTTGTGTGAGAGAGAGAGAGAGAGAGAGAGAGAGAGAGAGAGAGAGAGAGAGAGAGAGAGAGAGAGAGAGAGAGAGAGAGAGAGAGAGAGAGAGAGATGAATGAATTGGTTTGGTCGGTTTGAGAGAAGTTTGTTTGAGAGAGCATTTGAGGTGTGTGTGTGTGTGTGTGTGTGTGTGTCATAGGGACGCACACACAACGCGCTAAATTTATTTGTGGAGGTCGCACACGGGCAGGACGGTGTTGGGTAGAGACTGTCAAGTGCATGGAATGGGAAGCTGCATTGGTCAGCCATGGTATGTGGTGGCATGAGGTTGCTTGGGGGGGGGGGGGGGGGGGCCCC